GCCCAGTTTAGGGGCATTTTTGCCCCAAGTCCCCATGGCCAACACATGCTCCGCCTATGCTGCACCCCATAAACACAATCAAGCCTAGAAAAAACCAGTAAACCACCCCTTTAAATCTACCATCCAAAGGCCCAACAATATGCAAAATGATCATGAAGAGACAGGCTGAACAGGAAAATTGGAAAATGTATGTCTTTTAGTTCTTGTGTTTATAATATCTCTAAATTTCAATGGTTTAATGCTTTCAGAAAGCAATGATTTACCACATAAAACATTAAAGTTTGGCATAAAATGTTTATCCTCACTATACCCGTATTTAATGTTGCTTGGGTTGTGTTATCTTTTATTTTGCCTATTTTTATTCATGGTTCGTCCTTTTATCAAGTGAACAAAATATGGTCGATTTAAGTAATTTAAAAGACAACACAACACTGTATCAAAATTATAGCTACAAAAATGCCCTCAAAATCAAACACTGAAATGTTTTACATCTGTCACCCAGAGGCCAAACAATTTGCTAAATTTTGATGAAGACACAGGCTCCTGTGTTTGTAATTAATCTAAATTTCTATGGTTTAATGCTTTCAGCTGGCAACAATTCACCACACAAAAAAACATAACAGCTCGGCAGAAAATGTTTATCCTCACTAAATCCATATTTAATGTTGCCTGGGATGTATTTTATTTTATTTTTTTCCATAAATGTATTTGTGGTTTGTTCATGTTGGCATGTTATTTGACAAACTTCTGTGAAGTGAAAAAAAATATGGTAGAGTTTAACCAAAGTATGGTAGAGCATGTCATTTAAAAAGTGAACCAACACAGTACCAGAATTATTTAGCTACAAAAATGCCCTCAAAGTCAAACATTAAAATGTATTAAATTGACCATCCAGATGCCCAACAATATCAAAATTATTAAGAAGACATGGGCTGAATAGGAAAATTGGAAAATGTATGACTTTATAGTTCCAGTGTATCTAATATCTCTAAATCTCCATGGTTTCATGCTTTCAGCAAGCAATAAATCAACACACAAAACACATTATGGTTTGGCACAAAAAAAAAAGTTTATCCTCACTAAACTCATATTTAATGCTGCTTGGGTTGTAATTTCTTTTATTTTGCATATTTTTATTTCTGGTTGGTCCATGTTGGCATGCTATTTCAATAATGCGTCCAAAATATAGACTGACGGATTACTTTTGACATCAACATCAAAAGATATGGTAAGTGTTTTCCTTCCTTTTATATCTACATAGTGATATTTCAAAGAACAAAATACTTTAAGCTTTCATCAAAATATGACCACTTCCTTTTTCCCACTGACATCTCTGGACCAGATAAATAACAGCCACTTTTCACAAATCAATACATTCCCAAAAGGATAAAATCAAGTCCTGCCCTAAATTTTTTTGTCTAGCTGAATATCCTGTTTCACTCAGAAATGTGTCTCATAACAGAGGTAAGTCTTCAAATGAAGAGGAGCTACTATAAGACTTCAGAGTGCTCAACAAAGCTTTTTACAAGTCATTTGAGCCATTAAAGTCTAAAAATACAGTCCTGATTGAATGAGAATGGCTGTAATTGTAATCATGTACAGTTGACAATTTTAACTTACATGAAAAGACTGAGAAAGAAAGCTGTATTTAGGGCCCGTCTCTTTACAGGAATGAATCTGAAGAATAACAACGATAGAGTAATCACGACATCTCAGACAATTGACTCATATACTCTAGGGGAAAGGCCATAAACAGTCATTTTTTTTGGACAAATAAGCAATACATTTTGCATTAACCACTAGACTGTACATTTCATTATCAAAATTAAAGGCCGCAGGCAGATGTGCGCAAAAAAGGCATAATAACAAATTAAAATGGGCTGAACATTGTGATTTCTTGTCCTGGTCATTTGAATAATAGATAAAAGAAAATGGACTGAGAACGAGGCAACAAGTAAATTGCATTACACATCGCTCACCTCCATTAGCTAAATTAAACCATTTCTGAAGATCTGCCATAAAAGAATGGAAAAGACAACATTTCACTGACTTTCAACAATATTTCCAGTGGATGTAACCTAAATGTAGATGTACTTTCTACCATTTTTTCCGTACCTTACGTCACCCCTGTGACATTTTTATCAAAATATATCTTTAAAGGATTCGTTCAAAAGGCACTTTTCACAGTTGGAAGCTTCTTACACCTCAGAAACACAATGACGGTATTCGGTTTCCCATCATGCAGTTGTTATTCTGCACGACTGCCATTTTCAAAGGGGCATCATTTCCCTTCTAGGCTATTAATACATATTCAGAGCTCTTTTAGTTCTATTAATGATGAGCAAATTCTCTTGGGGAAATTGGGAAGTATATGCACCCTAAACATGAACTGTTAGATCTCAATAGCATATCAAACTTGAGAAGGGTGACATTGTGAAGAAAAACCCAACATAAATAAGATGCAAAAATATTTGCTTAAAATATTTACAACCTCTCCTGCAAAATGCAACAGTCGCATATTAGATAAAGGGCAAGCATGCGTGAAGCAGATTTCAATGAATTACCTGAGTGCCACCGTTCATTCATATCTGATCAGTCACATTCAAGTTTGCTAGTTAAAAGAAACCGTTGACTTAAAAACGAAAATTTGCTGAAAATGTACTCACCCTCAGGCCATTCAAGATGTTGATGTGGTTTGTTAACTGTTAATTGGAACCAATTTAGAGAAATTTAGCATTACATCACTTGCTCACTAATGGATCCTCTACAGTGAATGGGTGCCGTCGGAGTGAGAGTCTAAATAGCTGATGAAAATATCACAATAATCCACACGACTCCAGTCAATCAGTTATGCCAATCCATGTGGGTGGATTTTGATGTGAGAGGACAACAGGAGATGCACTTTTTTACTGGAGGAAGGGTTATTATGGATTATGGACTCATATTTTGACTAAAAGCTTTACAGTTAAAATACCTTAATAATGGATTTGTTTCTTACAAACATGCAGCTTTTGGCTTCACAAGATGTTAATTGATGGACTGGAGTGGTGCGGATAACTGGATTATTGTGATGTTTTTATTAGCTGTTTGGACTCTCATTCTGATGGCACCCATTCACTGCAAGTGATGTAATGCTAAATTTCTCCAAATCTGTTCTGATGAAGAAACAAACTCATCTACATGATGGATGGCCTGAGGGTGAGTACATTCTGAGCAAATTTTCAATTTTGGGTGAACTATTCATTTAACATGGCTCCATTTGCCCCTGCTGGCAGAAATGGTAACTACATTATTAAGCATCTTTCTAACCAAACAACTCCAGCAACTGACAAGTTGGATATGCTGAGAGAGAAGCATTGCTGTTTGTGCGTTTCAGCTAAACATTTAGGGGCATGTTCTCCTATTACTCTTGAACAACATGATGCAGAAACATTAATAATATCCTACAGTCACAACATTGCTAAGCAGAAATTTTCTGTCTGATTGGTAACGCCTGTCATTTTAATGTCGCCAACAGCAATGGCTTTTTGTCTGACATTTCAGGGAAGAGGAAAACAAATCACAAGGCTGAGGATAAGATGTCTCATTTTAGTCCTTTCATAAAAATACACATGTACTGTACACTTATACTGCGCACCATCACTCACTACAAGCTTCAAACAGGCTAAAGTGGTTTCAGTGTTAAAGAAAATAATCTAAAACACATTTTGATAAACACAGATAATGTCCACAAGATAGGGTAGGGTCTAAAAATGTGATATCAAGTTAAAAATCGAATATTTCAAAACTGGAAAACAGTTCCGACTTTCCGAATGAAAGAAAACAAAGGAAATGACAAATTCTATTGTTAGGTGACTACTTTTCAAAAGTTTGGAGTCAGTATGATTTGTTTTAGAAAGAAATTAATACTTTAATTCAGCAATTATGCATTCAATTAATCAATAGTGGCAGTAAAGAGACATTTATGTTGTTAAATATTTTAAATAAATGCTGATCTTTCATAAAAGATCTGCCTTCCACAAAGATATGAAGCAGCACAGCTGTTTTGATAATAATAAGAAATGTTTCTTGAGCAGCAAATCAGCATATTAGAAGGATTTCTGAAGGATCATCATGTGACACTTTAGTAATGATGCTGAAAATTCATCTTTGCATCACAGGATTAAATTACATTTGAAAAAATATATTCGAGTAGAAAATAGTTATTTTAAATTGTAAATATTTCACAAGGGTGTGTATATTCTGACTAAGATTATTTGCACATATCCTACAAATCTCAAAATGCTTTTTGGACCATCTCAAATCATTCTGGAGAACATGATCATCAGGTTTTCAGAGCTGCTGTCATTAAAGCAAACGACATTATGAAAAAGGCAGCACTTTCACTCATGGTCTCAGACTTTTAGACCCCACTCTACATCCAGCTCCAGTAACGTCTCAGACAAAAGCTTGTCTCTTTAATCGGAAAAAGCCTCATCAGAGGTTTTGGTGTTGTGCCAAAGCATATAATATCCACTCAGAATAATTACCGGACTCAGGCATATTCTCCACATGTTTGTAATGCATATAATACCTCAGAGGAAAAGCGCAGCTCTTTGAAAATGTCCCTGCGGCATTCAGTGAAATCCATTCAGATAGACTCAAAGAGATCTTTCTAAAACGCTAAACTGAAACGTATGAATGTGTTTGTTACATTAAACAACCTGTTTTGCTTTGTACACCAGATCAAACTTGACAAACCAAGCAAATCTGCATTTCAAAGACTGGCTTGTTACATATCTAATTACACGCAGGTAGAAAAAGGGTCAAGGAACCATGGCAACACCTGCTGCAGGCAGACATGCTGTCACCTCCCGAGAAGCACTGCATGCACAAAAGCATTAGTTAACCTGAACTCAAGAGTAACATCAGGAGAGAGTACATACACCTTTTATTCAGAAGCTAAACAGAAGCAATATGAGGAAAAACAAGAGAGCCACATCGAGAAAATAAATGTGCATCCCTAGTCAAAAAATACAGTGTACAGGGTTCCCAATGAAACTTCAATCCTAGTGTTGATCCTAAAGGAAAATCCTAGAGGAATTCTTATTTGATTCTTAGAGTGCTATTTCGAATTTCATAGGTTTCTTGCTACTGGACAATGATAGGTATTAGGTACTTTTTTGTTGGACTATAACATACATTTTGTACAAATTAACTAGAGTTGATTTGGGAAAACCATCAGTCACGATGGTCAAGAAACAAATTAAAGTATTATTTCACTCTCTTTACTTCAATGGCTTTAAGTGTTGGCGGTAACCTCCAATGAATACACTAGGATAACCATACAACTGACACGGCATAAACAGCTGAAAAGAGAAGAACTGCATGTTCTCCTGTTATTCTGGAACAACATGATGCAGAAACATTAATAACATCCCACAGTCACATCACTGCTAAGCAGAAATTTTCTGTCCAATGGGTAATGCCTGTCATTTTAATGTGGCCAGCAGCAGTGGCTTTTTGTCTGAAACATCAGGAATGAAGAGATTATAAACAAATCATGAGGCTGAATATAAGACGTCTCGTTGCAGGCCTTTCGGAATACTTTTGATGTCCAACAGGGACATTTTATCCAGTTGCAAATCATAACAGCCCTACTGGGAATTTTCTGGGTTTTCAATCATGATTCTGGTTCTAAATAATTAGTTCTAAATCATCACACACCGTAACAAGTCAGAAAACAAATGTTCTTTCAGTTTACCTTTTATCATAGGCTCTTTTTGTCCTGAACTTCTTTTTGTTTTGCCTCCTGTTGAAATCCTATAAAACGCATCCTTAATGGTTGGGTGCTTCTCAATTATAAGAAAAGAAATCTCTATGAATCCTGTACACAAGCCTTTAGGATTTTGACTAAGGATTATTTGGGAATACAATCAATCAGGAAGGTCCAAAAAATGTTTCATGTCTACTTCCAGTACGTTTACCTTCTCATTTGTTCTTTTTACCCAATTGGTAACTTCTTTTTGTTTTGTGCCCTGCTGGAATACTGTAAGAAAATCAGGATCCTTTAGATTCCAAAAATTCCAATGGGAATCCTGTACACAAACCTTTGGGATTTAGACAAGGGATGAACTGAGAATACAATCGGTCAGTCAAAAAAACAATTTTGCATGTATATTTAATCCTTTCAGTACGTTTACCTTCTCATAGGTTCGTTTTGTAGTTTATGAACAACTGTAGGGTTTGTTCAGAGCGCAGGCTGTAACCTCCACTGAATTAAAAGTACATTAGGCAACAGCTGGTCCCCGTAATATAGAAATAATCGTGTCGATTCCAAGTTCAGCGTGCCGAATGCGTGATTGTCACTGCAAAACTGCAACTCGGTTCCTCTTCTTTGCTATTTGCTGCTCGCTTCTCCAGGGAATATGTCTTCATAGGCAGGTGGCAACTCGTTGTGAAGCGGGTAAGAAAACGGGTACGTGAGATTGAGCTCCGGATTGGCGGGCGAATAGCCCGGCAGCTCCATGGACGGGTGGCCCCGGCTGTGCACCTCCCCGTCCGCATCGTGCAACGCGTGAAACACCGCCAAATTGATGTAGGACACAGGCTGGAACTCCGTGACCGCGAAGTCGCGCTCCTCATTCAGCACGATCCGCGCGCTCCGCCTCTGCGTCCGGCGTCTCCGGTGACACTGCGCCGTTTGGTAACGCTTGATGATCACCAGATTCATCAGCCCCAGGATGCACTCCAGAGTGTTAAGGATAGTGGAGACCACCAGACCCCGCTGGTACACTTTGAGCCGGTCGCACGCCGTGTTTACATCCACAGAGTCCTGGCAATAGTGCGCGTACTTCCTCTCCACCAGGGACACCGTGTCGCCATCCACCACCGCGCCGGAGAACGCCGTCAGGACCCCCAAAAGAAACACTAAGATCCCAAAGAGGAAGAAATTCGCACACCTGGGCTTGCCCCGGCAAAAGACCAGCGCCACCCCCATCAGGATCTGCCCGAGAGTCACCAGGATGCCCGAGTAAAACGCGCCGGCCGCGGTGGCCAGGTGGAAGTGCGCTCGCACCCTGGAGCCCAACGCGATGCATTTGAATCCCACGACCACGGCGCTCATGGCGCACACGAAGAGCAGACTGCTGGAGACGATGGTGCACAGTCCTTTGCCACTCAGCTTCATTATAATCCTCCTCTGCCTCCTTCATCCTCCTTTGTCCTCCTCGTCAGCTCCTCTGGAAGCGCTGTCAGTTGGTGACATGACTCGCCGGTGGTTGCGCTTCGGTTCTAGGATCTCCGACTCGCTCTTATTAATTATGGATAGGCTCCTTCTGCGGAAACGGCCCCCTAAATCCAACCCAGAGGTTGCGGTCACCTTCATGACCCTGTTGCTCCATCCATCCAGCCCCCTAAGGCGATGAAGCGCATCCCTCGCGTTTGATGCTGGAGAGGGAAGTGTCCTCCCTCTCTCGCCGTGCGTTCATGCAGCACTGAGACCGAACTTGGGCTGGAGGCTGGAGATCAGGGGAAAACGATCCGACCCCCTACTGGTCTCACTTACCAACTACTGAATGTGTCATAAAGGCTCTCGGATTGTTCTTCGTGATGTCACGCTTTTAAATTATCCTCTCAGTTTAAATGTAACAAGGATAACAGCGCGAAATCGTCAGGCGCTACAGAAAAGTATATTCATGACTGGAGCTCTATATACAGCGGGGTCCAGGAGACATCACTGAAAACGCGGGATTTTTTTTCTATTTCAATATCCATTTCAATTTAAACGTATATAGGCCTACCTTAATTGCAATGCAAGTCGCTTTAGATAAATGTAAATGTAAATCTAAAATTTAAAACACATAAATCTAAAAGTTGTCACATAAAATGAAGCAGCATTCTCATACCAGGCTGGATAATTCCTGTTTCTCTGCGTCAGCAAGCCATGGTTTTGTCAAAGGTTTCTTTCCACCCTTTGCCTGCCAATTGGTCTAAAAAAAACAAGCAAACCTGGGAAAAAAAAGTTCATATAGGCTACATTCCTAAAAGCATGTTATTTTTTTCAATTTAACATTAGCCTCAAATTAAAAAATGTCAAATAAAAACATTTTCAGATTTTTGGACCATGTTGTAGATGTAAATGGGTAGTTAATGCACAAACCAACATCACAATTTTAAAGCTGCAGTCCGTATGTTTTGCCTCTTTGTCGCCATCTCTGTTTGAAAATCTGGAATTGCAGCTGTGTGTGGAATTATCTAGTTTGCGTGGGTTGTGAGTCAGCCCGGCTCCAGCGCCTATGAATCTAATGTTCTGAAGAGTATGTGTGGCAGTCAGTCACCGCACCGGTGTGGACATTTACTGTACTTCACAATCACAGATTCTAGCCTACGTCTTGGAATATGACCCACATAAGAATTTTCACCGTATATTGTCATCTGAACAAGTAAGTAACAAGTCTGCCATGTTTGTTCTGACCAACTGAGGAAAAAAGCATTACCATAAATCTCACTACAAATGGTGATTAAATCTAAAGATCGTTTAGCTCATATCACATCAAACCGTTCAAATTATTATTATTATTGTTATACTTTATTCTCAAATGATTAATGTTAACAACATCAGCATTGGCGACTATGCGTAATGTAGTGTGTAGTATGTAGATTTCAACTTCTGCACAGTCTAATCTAATTGTCATACTCTTCGAATTTCATATTAAGAAATCATTTTAACCCAGAAAGCAAATTATGCTCCCTTCGAACTGGTTTTCTTTAAAATACAAATCTTGTGTACTCCCAGTCTATCTGTTATCAGAAGCACATTTATAACTGGAATATAATTTAATTTCATTCACATGTGTTTCATAAACACATAATCCTTTCTGGATTACAATCCGCCATCAAAATTATCCATTTAATTATTCTGGCTGCTGTGAGAAAAGGCTATAAACAATTGGTCACCTGCAGGATCCTCACATGTGATAGCCTAGTAGCCGGGACAGCTTCTTTATGTTTACAGACGTGACGTAATGACGCAGTGCCATGCTCGAATTTCCCACGAAAACCTACCCGTACCACTCAAATTAGAAAACATTATTATAAGCTAACCATTGTGAATCGGGCTAAAGTAAGGTGATAGTTTTGAACACTGGCTGGTTATATACTTGCTCAAATATTGATTTCGGATCATTTTTAACCTAAAAAAAAGTTACGGACTGCAGCTTTAAAATGCTTATGCACATTTAAGGACAAGTTTATGTTTTAGATGGTGAACATGCTAGCAGTCTCTTTTTAAAAATCTCTAGTTCACTAGAAACTGCAGTGTGACAGGTGAAATTTTACAATGGAATTAATTAGTACACTAATCACTTCAGTTTTTTAAATAATGTAAGCTCATTAGAGCTGCATGCACAAAGTTGATAAAATAATAGTTGAAAACTTGAAACAGTTTGAGAAGTTAAGTACATCACACTGCAGTACATGTCAAATTGCTAAAAGTATGTCAACCACCCAGTTGCGTACTTCATATGATTTAAAATTATATATAAATTATATAAAAACTATAGAAATAACTGATTTAAAACCATAGCTGGTGAAAATACTAGAGTTCTAATAATTTGGGCCACCACTGTGTATATATATATATCCACACTTTGTATTCCATCTCAGTGAAACTAATTCAAATGCAATGAGACCCAGACCCCTGTTGCAGACAGTCTATAGCAGGGGTGCCCAAACTCGGTCCTGGAGGGCCGGTGTCCTGAAGAGTTTAGCTCCAACCCCAATTAAACACACCTGAACCAGCTAATCAAGCTCTTACTACGCATACTAGAAACTTGAAGTCAGGTGTGTTGAGGCAAGTTGCAGCTAAACTCTGCAGGACACCGGCCCTCCAGGACCGAGTTTGGACAGCCCTGGTTTAAACCGTAATATTTCACAATATTTTTTACTGTGCAAATAAATGCAGCCTTGGTGATCACAAAAGACTTCTTTCAAAAACAAAAACAAAAAAAATCTTGCCAACCCCAAACTTTTAGATGGTAATGTATGTGCAACAAACTATTTAATATAAAAAGTTGTATATGAAGGAGAAAATCATACATTCTTTCATTATTACATTCTTCTAAAGACATGGCCAGCCAATCACAAGCCTCCGTCAGGCAGTCCAGACAGGAAAGGGGTTGTCATGGTGATAGAATGTTGTAGAATTCTCCTTGTTTTTTTTCCCCACTTTGCGAGTGAGAGAGAGAAAGTGAGGTGAAGTGCAGCTGACAGCCTCAATGAAGTGTGTGTGTGTGTGTGTGTGTGTGTGTGTTTTAGGGTGAAATGTAAATATTAAAGCTGTCATATACAGGCTGTGCCATTCAAACCCTGGGAACTTCTCCACGTTTCCATTACTTAAAGAGGCATCATGTAATTTGCAACATTTAACAAGAAATGAGTAATACATCTCATGCTGTCTTGTATTTTTCAGTCTGAAGTTGGAATGTGATAAACTGGCGAGTGAGAAATCTGAAATGCAGCGTCATTACATAATGGTGAGTAAAGCATGCATGTTTCATCAGACCTAGTTATATACGCAGATCATATGGAAGCTGTTCCCACCACAGTATAAAAAATAATAATTGCAACTTTTTATTGCACAATTCTGGCTTAGAGGGATATAAACTCTGTTTATATAGAAATAGAATTGTGCTATTTCTTTTTATAGTTTCTTATTAGTTCTTATATGTGCATTTCTTACATTTTTGTTTTGTTTTGGCTTTAGTTCTTATATAAATATGTTGTGTATGTGTGATTGAATGTTTTTGATTTTGTCTGTAAGCCTGTGGGCATCCGCAGTAATTCATACACAAGCGTCTCATTGATCAGTTGTATGATGGGTTGTGAGTGTGCACAAGCGTATTGACGTCTTGCTGACGGATCGATGTGAATGTGTGTCTGAGCGGGACGGCAGAGATCTGAGTGATCTGCTGCTTTAGCCCAGAGCAAAGCTCCTAACCATGAGCCCAAATCACAGTCGGGTCGCTCTGAAGTTTCATGAAAACTTATGTTAAATTGATGTCTTCTCCTTCACCTCTTTTGCTTGAAGAGAAATTTTCTATGGATTTTTTGAATATATAAAGATTTTGACTGCCAATTCTCTGCTGTTATTGCTGCCTTCTCTCTACACTTGTTTTTATTTCCTCTTTGTGACACATATTGGGTGGATTCAGGTGAATTTTTTGACATTTTGAGATGTCCCAGTTTGTCCCAAATGCCCCAAAAATGTGAATGATTAAATGTGCAGCTATCATATGTTATATGTGGATAAAAAATTTAAATATACGGTAAAAATAGTGAAATATTATTGCAGTTTCAAATAACCATTTTCTATTTTAATATATATTTTGAAGTGTAATTTTTTGTCCTGAGATTTTTGATCGATCTTGCGCTTCTCTCTCCTGTTTCTCTGACTGCAGTATTATGAGATGTCATACGGACTCAACATTGAAATGCACAAACAGGTGAGAAGCTGAATATTGTGTCAGAATCTACACACTTTGCCTATTTTCTGCATCAAATGTGGGGGCAAGTTAATGCATTATTCTATTTGTCAAAATATTTAATAAATAAATATGGCAGGAGGATATGTAGATAGTTTAGCTCCAACCCCAATTAAACACACCTGAACCAGCTAATCAAGCTCTTACTACGCATACTAGAAACTTGAAGGCACGTGTGTTGAGGCAAGTTGGAGCTAACCTCTGCAGGACACCGGCCCTCCAGGACCGAGTTTGGGCACCCCTGGTCTATAGTGTTTTCAAATGGTTCAACTATATCTGTAATGCACCTGTTTGCCAAATGGGAGAAAAAAGTCACAAAGGCTGTATTTTTCAGAGCAGGACCTTTTTGAATGTTTGGGTGGATCTTCAGCGAGTCTCTGCGTCACCTCTAAAAAGTGTCTGACGTGCAGATGATTTATCTTTTATGGGCTCTTTAGAGCAGATGTGTCCCGCATGCGCAACTGAATGCATCCTATTTTTGGGAGCGCCTTGTGTATCGCAGCAAGTGATGCTGAAAGGTGTTTGATGGCAGTGGATTTTCATCTGCACACACCCCAGAGACAGAGGCACAGACGGAAAATTGACTCTTTGTCTCACGAATGAGCATGTTGCACCAAATCCACATAAACACATTCTACTTTGCTGGCTGTTGAAGTCATGTTATGCTTTTAATATCATATGGAGCGGACAAACTACTTTCAGCCAATGTTTTGTCTCCTCAAAGCCAAGAATCAGAGCTTTCCAAATAAAAAGACCACGTACAGTACAGGAAAGTTTGGATTTTTACAGATAATTGGTTTGTGGAAGTTGTTAAAATTGTAAAGCTGCAACTGGTAAAAGACTGCAGTCAACCAGAAAAGACAATGCTGTAGCAAAAGCTAGTTATTCTTAGTCACATAAATCCTTTTGATTACGTATGAAAGAGAAATAGTCTGAGCTAAAA